AATGTTATTGCTGTCAGTTTGTGGGTGCACGCAGATGTAAGTCAGATATGCTACAGTATAAAGGTTGTAGTTCTATGGGGGTCATCTCTTCTGGCAACCGGCAGAGGGGCTTTTTTGTGTTTAGCCCTTTTATTAATGTATTTTTAGAAGCTATATCTACTGTAGTTGCACTTGCTGTGTTTGTGCAATATATTGGATGTATAACAGAAGGGGTATCTCAGCAAATTATAGGTACCATGTGGGCCAGGACAGTTGATCAGTATACAAATGTCAAATAGCTCTTTGCACCCCATATCTATAACTTGGTAGGGATAGCACAAAAAGAGAGTCGGATTCTGCTGTTACACCAATGCAAATGTACATGAATTCTGTTAACTTCAAAGTCAGAGACACTCTCTTGCAGAGACAGACAAGCCTTCTGAAGTGTACGTTACTTGTGTGTGTTATATAAGGGACCAGACAATCAGAATCAGCCTATGAATAGCCGAAGGGGCCTGCAGTTCACCTCAGGGAAATAGCTGGCAATGTGTGTTTCAGTTTGTGGTCCTCTTTAAGAAGACTGGGTTGCAACTGGATTGCATGTATTTATATGTTTGTGAAATATGCCACCTAAGGGTATGTCTACACTACGAGAGTAGTTCGATTTTAGTTAAATCGAATATGTGCAATCGATATTAGAAAGTCGAACGTGTGTGTCTACACTAAGGACAGTAATTCGACTTTGTCAGTCCACAGTACCAGGGAAAGCGTCGACATTGGAAGCAGTGCACTGTGGGCAGCTATCCCACAGTTCCCGCAGTCCCCGCTGCCCATTGGAATTCTGGGTCGAGCCCCCAATGCCTTCTGGGTAAAAAAATGTGGCGAGGGTGCTTTTGGGTAACTGTCGTCATCCGTCAGTCACTACCGCCCTGCCTCCCTCCCTGAAAGCGCCGGCGGGAAATCAGTTCGCGCACTTTTTGATCAGTGACAGCGCGGACGCCACAGCACTGCGATCATGGATCCCGCTGCGACCATCGCTGCAGTTGTGGCCGTTCTCAACGCCTCGCACCTTATCATACACCTTACCCTGAGGCAGATGCAGAGTAATCAGGCGAGGAGGCTACGGCACCGCCGTGAGGGCCTGAAGTCGGAGAGTAGCACAGAGCTGTCAGAAACCACGAGCCCCAGCGCCCAGGACATCACGGTGGCAATGGGGCATGTGGATTTTGTTGAACGGCGATTCTGGGCCCGGGAAACAAGCACGGACTGGTGGGACCGCATAGTGCTTCAGGTCTGGGATGAATCCCAGTGGCTGCGAAACTTTCGCATGCGGAAGGGCACTTTCCTGGAACTTTGTGACTTGCTGTCCCCTGCCCTGAAGCGCAAGGACACCCGCATGCGAGCAGCCCTGACTGTCCAGAAGCGAGTGGCCATAGCCCTCTGGAAGCTTGCAACGCCGGACAGCTACCGGTCAGTCGCGAACCACTTTGGCGTGGGCAAATCTACCGTGGGGGTTGTTGTCATGCAAGTAGCCAAGGCAATCGTCAAGGTACTGCTGTCAAAGGTAGTGACCCTGGGAAACGCGCAGGCCATCATAGATGGCTTCGCTGCGATGGGATTCCCAAACTGCGGTGGGGCTATAGATGGGACTCACATCCCTATCCTGGGACCGGGCCACCAGGCCAGCCAGTACATCAATAGAAAGGGCTACTTTTCAATGGTGCTGCAAGCACTGGTGGACCATCGGGGACGGTTTACAAACATCTACGTCGGATGGCCGGGCAAGGTTCATGACGCTCGCGTGTTCAGGAACTCTGGTCTGTTTAGACGGCTGCAGGAAGGTATTTACTTCCCGGACCACAAGATAACTGTTGGGGATGTGGAGATGCCTACAGTGATCCTCGGGGACCCAGCCTACCCGCTAATGCCCTGGCTCATGAAGCCCTATACTGGCGCCCTGGACACAGAAAAAGAACTGTTCAACTACCGGCTGAGCAAGTGCAGAATGGTGGTGGAGTGTGCTTTTG